ATATATATATATATATATATAAGGGAATGTTAATAGAAATACAATTTTATTAATATTTGCAACAGACAACACACACATATATATATATACTCCCTCCGTTTTTTTTTCATAGTCGTTTTGTCAGAGTTTGTTATTTTTTTTTCATTGTCATATTACTAAAATCAATGAGTTATTAATTTTTTTCTTCCATTTTTACCCTTGATAATTAATACATGTTTCCTGAATAATGTGTGTATTTATTTTTAATGTCTACCTAATTTTTCCCCAACTACTCATATAAAATTAATGTGCATTTATAAGAGCAAATGTTCTCAACAAAATACTATAAAAAAAACAAAAAAAAAGGGACAACTATTTAATGGAGTAGTTCAACAGTCTAAAAAATGCAAAAAAAAAAATAAAGGGTAAAATAGGAAAGTAAGTAATAAATATTTTTGAAAACTAAAATATCAATTATTTCCTTAAGTCACGTACAAAACCTTAAACGACTATGAAAAAAAACAGAGAGAGTATATTACTAAAACTTATTCTTGAAGTAAGTAAATCACACTTCATACACATAAACATAAACACACAGACACAGTCACAAACACACACTAGAAGAAATATTGTTATTTTTACAAACGAATAAAATTTGTCTTTAAATTATAAAATCTATGGGTAACAATAATTTGGACAGATTATTAACAAGAATTTGTCGATAAATAACTCGTATTAAATTATTACCAACAGATTTTAGTTCGTGTGTAATTTTTCAAGGGAATTACCGATGACATAATCCGTTAATAAGTTCCCACAAATGTTTCCATAAATACATCTATGAGAAATTATAGACAGATGTATCTGTTTGTAATTTTTAACCAATATATACATTCATATGTAATTTCCTATATATTGTTTGTTTTACAAATGGATATATCCATGAGTATATTTCCATGGATATATATGTGGACAACATTTATATTATTTTAAAATTTTAATTTAAAATCTTGATATTAAATTATTAGCGAGCCTATTTTAATTTTATTAAATAAAATATAAGAATATTAATCTAATCATAATAAATATAAATTAAATTATTTATCTCTTTTGTATTTATCTCTCACCTACATGTATCTATGAATTATTTTGAGGAAGGAACAATTTAGATTCTTTATCTTCAAAATTTATATCACAATTTCTCTTGATCTTCTCAAAGGATGACATGTTAGAAACATTTTTTTTTTGTATTTATCTCTTACCATATATGTATCTATGAATTATTTTGAGGACCGAACAGTTTTGAATTCTGTCTTCCAAATTTATATCCACAATTTCTCTTGATCTTATTAGAAGGAAAAAAATGATGCATATGACTCAAGGACCACATGAATAGAGTTATAACCTTCACGAGTAGTCGTGCTTTTAGAACCTTGTTATCCATAAAGAGTTATAGCTAGTATTTTTGACGGACAAAAAAAAAAGTTAGACTTTTGGTATATATTCACTATATGCGGATAACACCAAATGAGAAGTTATAAGTACCAATAAATTTATCCTTACAATATCACTTTAATAAAGACAAAATCTGTTTTATTTTCAGATACGCTGGACTTCCCAAGGCGGAAGAACCAAGCCTACTAAAACACAACAGCACCATGGCAAAGCAAAGGCAGACATGACCCAAGGGGGATCCTGGAAAAAGGAACATTCAGAGCTCAAGTCTGGGAAACAAAAAGCCACGTTACAATTCTAAGACTAATAAGGTAGAGAGGCTTTTATTTATAAGAAAACAACAAATAATTATTTTTTAAGGTATATTTTAAAAGTGTGTGTATATGAATTTTTTCTTTGAATAATATTATACGGTGTCTGCCATCGATTTTTTGTATATATATGTTTGAACATGAAAGCTTATTTTTATTTTCTGGAGACTTGCATTCTTGCAATATTAGCTTATCATATCAAATATAGTGCAATTTGGTGTTGACAGTAACCACACATTTCCCAGGCAAAAGGTTTAATCAATTAGGAATTGCCTCACAGGAATTCATGTGTATATAACATATACAATTATAATTTAAAATAAAATGAATGTCAAATTTGACTTGGTTTGACCTTCGATTGTTAGAACTTTCTTTAATTAGTTACTTTCAAGTGTTCGTATGAGATTAATTCTAGTGATATATACGCTACTTTTAAGTAAGATTTCTGAATCCATATATAGACATTATATTTGTCGAAAATAGCAATTTTTTAAAGTAAGATTATACCAGCAACTCGTGGTTTGACAAAAATATCAACATGCATGCAAAGCTGTTATATCTTAGTATCTACGAATGTGTGTAATCCGTTCTCAAGCTTTTAAGAACCCCTCCCTCCCCCTGTACGAATTTCTCTTCTTCAAACATTGTTTTTCGTATCACTTGCTGCTCCACTCAGCGTTTTCTGTCCCCTTGTACGCGTTTTGTGTTTGTGTTGCCTCGGGCAAACACAAACACAGGAATGAAATACTAATCGATTAGTTGGACTTGGATATATAGAGACATAGATAATGGCAAGTTTACGAGGCAGTGGAAATGTATCAACTTCTTTAGATTCACGCGGCCACTGGGAAGTTTGTGTGGAAAACGATAGAAATGTGGGGTCTTATGGCATTTTCAACGGGGATCGTCCTTTGGATTTTGTGCTTCCTATAACCTTGTGCCAACTCGTACTCATCGTTATAATCTCTCGAACGCTATGCTTTATTCTAAGGCCTCTAAAAACACCCAGATTCATCTGCAATGTCCTGGTAAGCTTCAACAAATTCCCTTGCATTGTATAAGTGGATTACAATCTTGCCCACCACTCCTACGTTCGTTTGTATTCCTTCTTTCTATTTTCCTTTTTCTATATAAAAAAAAAAATACTGAATCGCCATAAAAGTGATTTTTGTTTTCTCTTTATAAATCCCCTATCTTCCCTCCTCTTAATTACACCCTTATTTCGTTTCCCAACAAATAAAAATCTAAACCATATTATATATGCATATTTAATTAGGATTAAAAATTCTCAATTAATTACACTTTTTATCATCTATATTTCATAATTTTGTAAATGTTACTTCTTTATTTTCAACGTATCAAATGCTAATTGAGAAATTATGTTATATATATGTCATCATTTATATATTACATCATTCATTAATTTATATTAGTATTTAACTTAATGTCAGTGCTGATCAATGTATCATGTTAAATTTTAATGTACCACATCAATATCAATTAACAACATTATCAACAAATCAATTAACAAGTTGATAAATTTATTTAAAAAAATTTTAAAAATTAGGTCACTAAATGGAGAAATTTAAAATGTAAGCGACAAAAATTTCAAAATTATAAAATATGGATGACAAAACTGTAAGTTCAAATTATTTAACAATTACACGACCACTTAAAAAAAATAACTAAAATCTTTAACTCAAACCTTACTATCCATGTATAATTAATTATAAGATCTAACCTCCTTCCTTTAACTCTACCCAAATACTCTTCATGACATTCTTGTCATATATATATAGTTTTTCTCATTCGTTAAAATTAGAATGAAGATAATAATAATGTTTGAAATTAAAAATATATGTAAACTATCTGAATCTGACCACTAGCGAACTCGAGCCTAGTGGTTAACATTGTTGTTACATACACATATATGTATAATGGTTGCAAGGTTTGGTTAAAGTTATGTTTAGTGAAAATGTGCATTCCAGGGTGGCGTTATTTTGGGGCCTACATTTCTGGGGCGCAGCAAAACCTATTGGCAGACTCTATTTCCTCCAAGACAAGCCGAGTATCTAATCTTGGCGTCCTTAATCGGCTCTATATATTTTCTATTCTTCATTGCATTGAAAATGGACGTACTCATGACATTGAAAGCAGCGAAAAGTACTTGGCGACTAGGAGTAGTGCCCTTCCTTGCTTCATTCACTGCTATGTTCATACTCCTATCAATGCATTATAATCCATATAACATTCCCCCAGAAAACATAAAACTCGCACGTGTCTCGATAAGCATTTTAATGGCAATAAGCAACTTCCCCGTGGTGTCTGATGCAATGATCGAACTCAACCTCATAGCTACGGAACTAGGGCAAATGGCTCTCTCTTCCGCCATGATCAACGACCACATCCTGTGGTTGTTTTTAGTGTTCCATCGCTTTGCCTCGGAGAAAATACTCAAAGATTCTTTCATATTCTTAGCGAACTGGATGCTGTTCTTGTTCTTCAGCGTTTTCGTTCTGCGACCAGCGATGAATTTGATTATTAGGAGAACCCCGGTGGGGAAACCGGTGAGTGAAGTGTATGTTGTGTTGATACTGGTGGGGGTGTTGGTGATGTCTGGTGTTGGGGATGCGATAGGTGTAACGTTTCTGATGGGGCCGTTGATGTTCGGTTTGATCATACCGAGTGGACCACCCTTGGGATCAACGCTTGTGGAGAAGAGTGAAGTTCTTGTGATGGAGTTTTTTCTACCTTTCTTTTTCGTGTATATAGGATTCCACACGGACTTGACTGCGCTCAAGGATTGGCACTTGTTTTTTACTCTGCAGAGTGTGTTCATCGTGGGGGACGTCATCAAGTTGCTCGCATGTGTGCTGGTTTCTTTCACGTACAACATTAGGCCCAAACATGGCACTGTGCTTGGCCTCGCCATGAACATCAAGGGCATAACCCAACTCATAGGTTTCGCAATACTCAGAAAAATGAAGGTAATGGTATATATTTCTCTTATTCCCTCTCCTCCGTATGTTTTCAAGCAGCAACATGATACAGTTGCACATGCATGTTGAAAATGCATTATATGTACAAGGACAACAAATCAAATTATAATATATTGGATGCTTTTGTAGATGTTGGATGACGAAACATTCAGTCAACTGGTCTGCTGTGTGGTGTTCATCACCGCGATAGTGACACCCTTGATCAACTATTTGTACAAGCATCGCCCTCGAGCGCACCAAACAGCAACCTTCTACGAAGGCCAAATGAGAACCATCCAAAACGCTTCAAGAAACTCAGAGTTTCGCATCATTTGTTGCGTGCACAACGAAGGAAACGTGCGTGGCGTCACTTCGTTGTTAGAAGCATTAAACCCAGTGCTAGAGAGCCCCATATGCGTCTACGCCATCCACCTCATCGAACTCTTGGGGAAAAGCTCACCGATTCTTCTTCCCATAAACTTCAGACACAATAGAAGATTCCTGTCGGTGAATTACCCTAACACCAACCACATCATGCGTGCCTTCGGAAACTACTCCTTCAACTCGACTGGCCCCGTCACGGTTCTTCCCTACGTCAACGTGGCACCGTACAAGAGCATGCACGACGCCGTTTTCAACCTCGCGGAGGACAAGATGGTGCCTCTCGTCATCGTCCCCTTCCACGAAAACGACAACACTGACCACGTCAGCTACGTGGCATCGTCCGTGCGCAAGATGAATTCTAGTTTTCAAGCGCACGTGCCATGCACGTTGGGGATACTCGTGGACAGGTACTCGCGGCTCGGCGCCACCAAAAACCCTAACGTGTTCTTCAACGTGGGCGTGTTCTTCTTGGGTGGACCCGACGACAGGGAAGCCTTGGCGTTGGGGATTCGAATGTCGGAGCGAGTGAACACGAGGGTGGCGTTGTTTAGGTTTATCATGAACGAGAAAGAAAGTGGTGAATCGTTGTTTGAACCGAGTAGGGAACAGTGTGAGGAGAAAGAGGATGACCTAATGTTGGACGAGGGTTTAGTTGATGAGTTCAAGAACATGAAGTATAGGGATTGTTATGCTTCTTGTTATGAGATTATGGTGAATGATGGAATAGAGGTGTTGGATGCAGTGCGAAGATTGGAGGGAGATTATGACCTAGTGATGGTGGGGAGGCGCCATACGATAGGGTTGAATGGAGAGGATATGGCGAGTTTCATAGAGAATGCTGGGGTTTTGGGAATATTGGGGGATATGTTGTCGTCAACGGATTTTTGTATTGGGGTCGTTCCGGTTTTGGTCACACAGTGTGGTGGGATGATACTAAATAGTACTAAGCTCGATAGATTAGGTTCAGCTAATGCCTCTCAAAGAAGTTTCAATATAACCGTGTAAATAAATGTTTTATGCTTGTACATATTTTGGATTTGTTCATAAATTACTTTAGGAAATAGGATGGGCAACAATTTTTATAGAGAAATGTAAATATTTATCTCATTTTGTTGTGTATTGGGTAGTAGGAATGAAGAGATAGAAATAAAAAGAAAAAAGATAAAGTGAGATATACTTAATTAGTATATAGGATGAGTAATGTGATGGGAACAAATAAAAAAGATAGATTATGTATGTTTGAGAGTTAAAATTTAATTATAGATATCGTTTTCAGCCTTTTAAAGTCGTGTAATAATCATTTAACGAAAATGATAAAGACATATAAATTATATGCCTACTCGAATTTGCATAAATTATGCTGGAAAATAATAATAATAATAATAATAAAGTTCAACAAAGAATTTAGAATAAAAGAAAGGCATTAATTGTGGATTCCTTAAAATAAAAGAAGCTAGCTATGATTATCTCTAGTGTTGATTTTTGAATCATTTAAAGTTTACATTGTTTTGTTTTTCCTTTTGTACAAAATAGCAATAACAATTAACGTGGTGTTAGTCTTATTATTAGTGAAACAAACACTAATAAAAGAGAGAGATTTAAAAAAAAAAAAAAAAAAAAAAAA